AGTTGAATTAGAAGAATTGAATGTCTTTTCCTACCCGAATATTCTGTAATTCCTCAGAAAAAAATGCTAAAAGGTAAGGAAGAGGATGTGAATTCTCAAACTCATCAGGAGAAAGATAGGGAAGGCAAAAGGGAGACATCTCAGGACGAGATGGACCCTGAAAAACTAACTTATCGTTATACAAAATACATGTATGAAGATGTGAGAGAGAAAAAATATAGTGTTACCTTAGATTAGGTAGAGACAAGTGTTGGGGGGAGGGGTTGGGGAGATAGGAAGGATAGTAGAATGAAAAAGACATTATTATTACTGTGTGTATATATATGTGACTGCATGACCAATATGATTCTGTAACCTGTACACTCAGAAAAATGAGAAATTATATCCCATCTGATTCAAATGTATGATATGTCGGTCATTGTACTGTCATGTGTAACTAATTAAAACAAATAAAAATTAAAAAAAAAAAAACTAACTCAGGATTGATCCAAACTGTTACACCCCGGCATGATCCCTGATCCTAGGTAATTCCCCCAAATTCCCACTCAGAGTCCAAGAAAGAAAGCAGTTCTCTTAAGACTGAATGTGAAGACAGAATCCCAAGCTCTAAGTTATTAGGGAGCCTGAGAAGGGGTGTGTCTGTGGAGGTAAATATTTTAATTTGAAGTCCTGGATTTTATTATGTATGCTTTTTTCAATGCCACAGCAACATAGAGTCCAGGATAGGAAAGAGACTTAGGAAGTACCTAATCCCCCGCTCCAACCCAATGGAGGATTTCTTTCTAAGGCATCCCCAACAGGGCCATCCACTCTTCAGAGACAGGACTGGAGGCAGTGGTGCTGCTGATGCACAGCTCTCTGGAGGCAGATTCTTTCTTCACCTCTGAATCTGGACCTTTTCCTTCTATTCATGGATGCAACAGAGACCATGCCAACCCGTTCCTTTCAGGACACCTCTCCTGACATCTGAAGTCAGGAATTCCTTTACTTTTCCATATTCACGCCTGCAGCAAACTTCCCTTACTCCTTCCACAGCGGAGACACTCTTGCAGGTTCCTCAACGCTCTTCTTTTCTGACAGTACTCTAAATAGTCCCTGGGGCTAGCGAGTTGAATACAGCAGACTTGAATTTGGTGGGCCACACAAGGTTGCTCTGTACAGCAGATAACAGGGCTACTTCTTCCTATTCATTTATAAATTATCAAAATAGTTTGTCATCATGCAAGCTGGCTCCTTAGATCCCAAAAGCCTCTTTCATCACACACTGTCCTCACCAGTGGGTCTTCTGCTGACTGACTCATTTCCTGTGCTACCAGTACAGTCACATCCTGTGCTACCCTGGGCTGTTGCAGGTTTGGCACTGTAGAGAAATATCCAGGTTTTCCCTAATTCCCTCAAAATGTCTCTCCCTGCTTACCATGAAGCCTCAATCTACCTGACACACAGAAGTGCTGAATATTTGTTAAATGAATAATAAATAAGTACATGAATAAATGAATACCAAATGTCACCCACAGACTTGATTACACCAGTCCACAGTCAATATTTCACCTTTAAAAAGAAGCCTGTCCTTTTAGCATCCCAGGCCATGACCCAGAATAAATAATTTCTTCTTATCAAAATCATCCACCTGACCTAACTGTTCATTTTCAGAGTTCCCCTTCTCTCCAAAAGCCCTGGTTAGACAGAAAAGTTGCAAACACCATCCGACCTTCTCAGGTCTTCAGTTTTCCCACCAAAGTTTACTGTAGAATAATTCTATTTCAGATTCTGTTTCCATGAGTTGTTGTCTGTGAACTGGAGGCCAACAGAAATAGAAAGTGACTGGTGGACATCACCTAACTGTTGATAGATTTCGGCCAACTGGGTACTCACACATCTGGTGAATACAAGTCCTCAGAGGGAGGCAGCAGGCATCACAGATCAATTTTTCCTATTGAGGGTGATCACTCATTTCTTCTTCTTCCTTTTCCTCCCCCTCCTCCTTCTTCTTCTCTGTCTCTGTCTCTGTCTCTCTATGTCTCTCCCTACCTCTTTCCTCACCCCCCTGTTTTCTCTCTTTCTTTTCCAGACTGGGAATTGAACTCAGATTGGCCCTACAACTGAGCTATATTCCTAGACCTTTTAAACTTTTGAGACAAGGTCTCACTAAAGTGCACAGGCTGACCTTGAACTCAGCCTCCAAAGTATCTGGGATTACAGATGTGCACCACCACACCCAGTGACAACAGCATTCTTGCTTCCCCTGCCAATGCCAGGGAAGAAGCCTTTCTGAGAAGCAGAGAGCCCGCGTGCATTAGAATGCCCCTTCAGTTATTGTTATGGTTTGGATTTGAGATGTCTCCCAAAAGCTCATGTGTGAGACAATGCAAGAAGGTTCAGAGGAGAAATGATTGGGTTGTAAGAGTCTTAACCCAATCAGTGATTTAGTCTCCTGATAGGAATTAACTGAGTGGTAACTGAAGTGGTAGGGTGTGGCTGGAGGGGGTGGGAATTGGGGTGTGGGTTGGCGTATATATTTGTATCTGGCAAGTGGAGTCTCTCTGCTTCTTGATCACCATGTGAGCTGCTTCTCTCTGCCACACTCTTCTGCCATGATGTTCAGCCTCACCTCAAGCCCCATGGAATGGAGCCAGCCTTCTGTGGACTAAGAAAACTGTGAGCCCTCAGATAAACTTTTCCTCCTTTCTACAGTTGTACTGATTGGGTCGAAGCAGAGAGAAAGCCGACTAAAACAGTGATGATATACTGTTTCTCCTTTGTTTTCATGACCTTTCTCTCAGCCCCTCTTGGGTTTCATTCCCCTTCACCTCAGCAGAAATCTTTTCCTTTTAAATTGCTTCCAAATTCATTTTGTCCCAATCTTTGCTTAATAACTCACAATGAAGGAACATGTTCTTCCAACTCTTTCTTCTTTTATTCTAAACAAAAGATGAGCCTGTCTTAGCTGCAGGTATGCAATGAACGTGCAAGGCAGAAAAACGTATGCTTCACATTTCCTGGGATTCCAATTTCTTCTGACTCTAAAAGAGTCCATTCCAGGTCCCCACGAAACTCTTGTAAATTGCTTTAGAAAGTGCCTGGTTCCACGCCTGTTAGTAGCATACCTGGGAAACATGCTTTTAAAAACTGCTTAGCCCCTAGATGGCTAAATTGCAAAATTACATAGATCAATCATGGGTTATTTAGTCCATCTCCTTACCTCTGAGATAGAAATATTTCTTCTCTATAAAGACCTACAAAAAAATCTTCTATTTTCTATTATATTCTTAGTTCATTGCCTCATGTACTCATCTTAGAAGTTCATCTTTGAAAATAACCAAATCCCTTTCTCTGGAGTTTAAGACCCTTTATATTTTTTTTTCTGGTTCCCAGTAGATATCATAAAGAAAAAAACAGACACCTTTTGGCATCTGTTTGTTCACAGCCTTCTGTTTAGAGCTTTTCAGGGCTCACCATTCCATTCAACGTCCTTCCAGCATTTGATGACTGCTCTTAAAATCCCCTTTACCACCTGCCCATAACCCTCCACCAATCCCTTTGTTTTTCTCAGACCCTGTAGCTCTCTGAAATGTAGTACTTGCCTCACTTGACACCTGCTTCAAGAACTTAATCAGCACATTCAAAAACTACATTCTCTTCACAAACAGTCTCTTCACAAAGGCAGAGCTGAATATATAGCTTGTCTGCATAATTTACTCATTCTCCTATAAAATGCACAAAACAAGATGAAGGTTCTGAAAGCCCAAAGCAACACCTCTTATTTGCCACAACAAACACCTAACAGGCTTGGCCCCACTAAGAGACAGAGAGCAGAGCCCTTGCTGGCCAAGGCAACAATGGGGGACAAGGACTGGCGTCAGGAGGCTTGAGTTCCAGACAAGCTCTGCCATGGACCCCTGTGAGCAGCTCACCTAATTTACCTGTTAATTTCATATTTCCCCTTCTCTTCCAAAGTCATGCTGGGCAGAAGAGTGGCAAACACTATCTGACACTCTAAGATCTTCAGCTTTCCTACCTAACTTCACAGTCCTTAGAACAATTCTGTTCCAGATTCTGTTTCCATGAGTCTCAAGTCAGCCTGTTCCCTAAACAGAACAGCATACATATTTGCCCAGATTGCTCCTCTGGGCCCTTCTGGCTCTCACATTCTGTAACTAGTCAAAGGCCTCTTCCCTCCCTTTTTAAAGACATAAGCCATGTTCTTGGCATATCTGTTGCCACCCACCTCTGTGGCCAGAATGTGTTTTCTCAGTCTTTCTTTCCTTATTACCTTCTGCCCTGAAGGAGCCTTTTAGACTTTTGCTCCCCTTAGGTTCTCCACCCAGTGAAATCATTGTATCACACATGTTCTGTATATCTGTACTGTATGTATATCTGTGCTTCAGGCACACAAGATTAAGATTCACTTGCTACCCCCAAGAACTAATTTTTACCCAGCGGGGGCGGGGGGCAATATTACCCCCCATTAAAATGCAGGGAATAGAAAAGAGAGAAATAACAACAGACACTGAAAATGCAGAAACTACATTGAGCCAAGAACCACCTCTAGCTGAGTAACATCAGCACCATTACTTACCCCAAACTCTAAGCACCACAAAAATATTCACAAGCCAGAGATTCTAAAAATAATCCATTATGCAAACCAGAGTGGAATCAACCAAAGTTCCAAAGGGACTTTGCGCAAAAGTAAACAGCAGCTTCCCACCCCCCTGCCCCAGGCCACAGTGTCTGGGGTTGCAGGCGCATGGACCAATCCTCTTAGCCTGGGACCCTCAACACTGCCCACAGTTCCCACTGCCAGCTCCCATTTCATTCACATGAATCCCAGCAGAAACAATGGGAAAGATGGGAATGAGGTGAACAATGGGCAACGATGTTCCAGGAAAAGTTAGAATCCAATGTATCCCAGGGCCCTGGCAAGGAACAGGGACTCCTTCCAACTTCCTGGCATCAGCCCAGCTCCCCACTCCCCTGCAGGCCACTGCCCTTCACCTTACCTTGGCACACTGGCCAAATACGTCACAAGTTTCCGCAGGTCTTCCTGTCTTATTCTGTCATGATTGCTGCGAGCAGGGAAGGTCAGGATAGGTCCACCTCGCTTATCACGGCCCCCTGCAGGGAGAAAGAGGAGGGAATTTAAGAAAAGCAATGGGAAAGTCAGCCACAGAGGGGAAAAAAAAATTGTCTGAATGCTGGTACAGGCAGCAAGGTAAGGTGAGGCCCAGATAAATCAGTCACAGTTTAAGACAAGAGTGTCTGAATGCAGGTAATGTGTGTGACTTTGGTCAAGTCTTTCGACATCTCTGATGCCTCATCTTTAAAAAAGCAGATGAAAATAATAGTGGGCACTTTGTGGGTTGTTGCAAGGACTGATGAGGAAGCAGCTTGAAGAGTAAAGCTCTCTGTATTTGTGAGATAAGAAGGGAATGATAATGATTCTTATTGAGAAAACAAGCTGGGTAAAAGTGCTTTGTTCTTTGGAAATTTCACTTCCCTTCACTTCTCTTTACAGACCTCTGTAAGGCAGGAGTGCTCTCAATGCACTGATGACCATGGAGAGGAGGCCATTGAAAGCAACCATCCAGGATAGCACCGCAGAGAGATTTTCAGACTCATAGAAAAGACACTAAAAGTTTTCTACACAACTCAGAAGCCACCTCTGCCCACCTGCCTGCCTGAGGTGCCACCTGTCACTCCTGCTGGAGAAGTACATGAATCTTATCAGAAATAAAGATGCTCAAGGTCTTAATCAGTGCAATATGTACAAACTCGGATTCTAAATGCTTTATAAACATCAAATGAAGGGGGGGAAATGCTAGAAGAGGTATACAAAAATGATGATCACTGTAGTCATTAGGACAGAGTTCTAGATGGTTGTTTTTTCTTTCCTATATTTTCAAACTTTCTATTCACTATTTATCATATGATTTAAAAATTTATTCATTAATGGATGTCATGATTAGGAACCCAAACCAAGTTTCTCAGGAGGGTCAGATGGGTGAAACTGAAGTATGGTGACTACGTTCCTTTGAGGCACTGGCTATGATACAAAGGACATTTCTGCATCCTGATCAGAGATACCCCCTCAACCCAAATCTCAGACAACAGCTGACATCCCCAGAATGGGGACCCAGAGTGATCTAATGGAAGATGGGGGAGGGGTTCACATGCTACATCAGTGCTAGAAAGAAACCTGACACTCAGGCCTCTGAAGAAGGACCTCTTAGGAGGAAAGCAGAGCTGCCCAGGCCCCTTCTAGGTGTGAGCTCAGGAGTAACATTTTCCTCTGATCACAGGAACACAAATGGAGGGAGGCTTGGTGTATTAGTCAGCTCTTAGTCTCTATGACCAAAATATCCAACACAATTTAGAGGAGGAAGTTTATTTTGGGATGATTGATAGTTTCAGAGGTTTTAGTCCATGGTTGGCTGACTCCACTACTCTGGGTCTGAGGTGAGACAGAACATTACGGCAGAAAGGTGGGAGAAAGCTACTCAGTTCACAGCAGCCAAAAGCAGGGCACAGAAGGAGCTAGGGACAAGATACAGTCCCCAGGACATGTTCTCAAGTGATCTACTTCTTCCAGTCATGTCCCACCTGCCTATAGAACCCACTATCTCATAACAGTCCATTCCAATTATTAATCCATCCAATGGATTGTTCCACTGTTGATGATCTGGTCTTTATGATCCAGTCACTTCTGAAAGCCCCACCTCTGGACACTGCTGCACTGGGGGACCAAGCTCCAGGCCTCCTGCTCCAAGGCCTTCTATACTACCAGCCCTGGTTCTTTGTAATGATGAACAACTTCATCTCATCTGCTTTGGGGATGGTCCCTATCTCCCAACTATCATTCACACAAAGAAAAGGAAGCAAAATGATTAATTGGAAGGGTTCCTAAAAGCTGGGAGGGCATCTGACCCCCTCAGCCTTCCCCTTATCGCTCTAAGCTTTTTTACCCTTGGGTGGGTTTTTGCTACAGCTATTGGTTTCCTTCTATGGACACCTTGTAAGTAGAGACATGGGAACATGGGGAGCCAAGGCTCTGACTGGCAGAGGGTGATGAGGTGGTTTCAAGGGCTGGCTGATCTGTTCCTGTAAAGCTTATGTTACACTAACCTTAGAGACAGGAATTTCAGAACTCAGGGCTGGGAAAGGTGCTGGATGACAGGGGAGGGGGAGTGAGGAAACGAAGCCTGGGAAAATGTAATCACCACCTTTCAGAAGTATGGATAATGAGTCAAGATGAGGCAGCAGGATCAAGTCCTATAGTTTCCAGAACAGAAAAGATCTTGCAAGACTGTAGGAAGAAATGAGCGAGCACAGAGGAAGAGAATCATTATGCCGGAAGGGAGGTGGGCAATGAATACATTCAAGACTTCAGAGTGGGTAAGGGGGAGGGGTCCAGCCCCCAGTGGGTGGAACTGTTCTTTTTTCTGAGGCAGGTTGCATTAGTCAAGGAGAGAGGAAAAACAGAAATAAGTGATGCTGATGCTTTAACATGCAGCATTTCCCAATTTTATTTAAGACAAGAACCTCTTTCTAGTTTTTTTTTGAGGATGATTGTTTGGGACTGTTCTATGGAAACACTTTGAGACACTTGGGTCCAGGGTACAAAAGATAATGTTCAGTGGCATGGAGTTTCCCTGGGAACTACGGAAAATCATGTTGGGAGATGAGGAAGCAGAAAGGAACCCTGGGAGGTAGCCAAAAGAGGGTATGTATGTGCACAAAGATCCCAGGGTAGGGTGGGCCCTGCACCAGAAAGCAGGTGGGGTGGAAGGGACAATGGATGTGGTGAGTGGGAGACATAAAGTAGCAGAAGGGAAGCCAAGGAGGCCAGGGAGCCCATGGGCTGTGAACGAGGGGCCCACATGGCAGGGTAGGAACAACAGAGGCTCACTGAGGGACAGCCACAGCTCTGACCCACATGCCGAAGGGGCTGGGCTGCCCTGACTCCAGATGTTTGTTGCCATGGCAGCTACTTTGCTTTCATCTGGCCAAAGCTGGGGTGCTTGCAGAGGAGGGTGAGCACGACCAGTGGTTTCTCTACCCACCACCTTCCTTGCCTTGTTCTTTCCTTTTCGTAAAGAAACACAATGGTTATACTGCATCGTTTAATTTGGGGTTTATTTATTTTATTTTTGTGTTTTGTCTCCTGAAACCTCAGGTTGCATAGGTTTTTGTTGTTGTTATTTTTGTTCATGTTTTAGACGTAGCCAGTCATTAACTGCCTGACACCTTCAGAACCCGTCCCAGGCACAGAAGGGCAATGTTCCCTAAGCCCCAAAGCTCCTGGCACACAGGCATGGCTGAGCAAGGCCTACCCCAGGCTGCTCACTAGGCTGCTGGGCTCACGTGGAAAGGAGCTATGCACCCCCAGCTCCTTCCTCCAGCTCTGGGCCATTTCTACCTGCCGCATCCCTGACTACTTTCCTGGCATGCTGCTTCTGTGAGATCCATGAAGTCAATTCTCTACTACCTGAGAAGGTTTTTGCTGGGTCTTCCTTTCCTGGCCCTGCCTCAGGGTCCTGACTGAAAGCACATGGAGAAAATGAGCCATGAACAATCAAACAAGGGTCACCCTGTCAGAGTGTACCATGTCTGCCTTCATATGCTCCAAACTGATGCAGAACAGGATGGCATCAGAGCTATGCATTAAATCCAGGAAGGCTTCCTGTAGGAGGATCGGACTTCAGAAAAAGAGAAGTTCAAACCAGGAGAAGGTATGAGGAAGGCACTGCCAGGGAAGGAAGACCTCCCATGAGAGAAAAGGGAGGATCAGCAGGATACCCAGGAGACAGGAAGGATCTCAGGTTAACTAAGGACCATAAAACAAAAGAAGGTGAGTTATGGGCCATGTCCCCTGAGCCCAGGCTGCGGGGAGAAGCAGGCATGAGGGGCTTGGCACTGCCCAGGGGTCTCCAGGACTTCCACGCAGTCTTCCTATATGCTCAGCAAGCACTCTGAATCCAAGTTCACGGTAGGGTTGTCTCACTTATGCCTCACACACACTGAAATCATGCTCAAGATCCTCCCAAGGGGTTGTTCAGCCTACGCCTCCCCATGTTTGGTGATGGGGACTCACTTCCTAAGAAGATATGCAACACTAACACTGATAGGAAATGCAGCTTCCTCATCAGTGTCATCCTAACAGAAAAATGGCATAAAAAATAACACCATAATACTTCTACTAGGAATACAGAATGCGTTAGTGTCCTACAAAGGATTCTGCAATCCTGTTGCATGCCTGCTTCTCCTCCCACACCTAATTCTGACTCGTTGGTCTCTTGCCTTCCTGATGACATAGGAGATGACTGGTGCTTGTTGTCCCCTTCCTCACTTCCCCTCCTCACCCCTTTCCATTTTGGCTGTTCCCAGCAGCCAGGCCAGCAATGCCTGTGAACTGAACCTCTATGCCAGGGAGAATGTACTCTGACTCCAGGGCTGCTCCACGTAGACAACAAAAATAACCCAGAAATAAAGGCTCAGCCCACAAGTCTTAACACTTGGGTGTGTTTCTCAAAATGGGATCCCTGTCTGCTCACACTGCCATCAGCCCAGCCCAGACCTCAGACCCTGCCAGAGGTTCTGATCCAGCTGGCCTAAAGTGGAACTGCCAAGCATGTGGCAATCTGTTACAGCACCAATGGAATACACACATACTACCTAAACAAATGCCATGTGGCTGGGTTCCAATAAAACTTAATTTACAAAAATCTGTGGCTATCCTACAGGCTGAAGATTGCTGAGCCCTGAATTATATGTTAAAAGGTCGGGTGCACAATATGAGTGGGGGAGAAAAGACAGGAATCAATATTTGGAAGTCAGAACAAAACACCTAAATACAAACATGCAAGAATTCCCTTTGCCAAGAAGGATAAGGAGAAGCCAAAAAAGTTTTTCTTTCTTATTTATTTATCGGCACTAGGGATTAAATCCAAGGGTGCTCTACCACTGAGCTATATCCCCAGCCCTTTCCATTTTATTTTTATTTTGAAGACAGGGTCTTTCTAAATCACTTAGGACCTCATCAAGTTGCTGAGGCTGGCCTCAGCCTCCTAAGTAGCCAGGATTACAGTTGTATGCCACTATACCTGAATTTTTTTTAAAAATCTCCTCAACATGTTCCACTCAGAAATGAATATGAGCAAAGCCTCTTCCATCAGCAGCTTCTCTCAGAGATCCTGGGCAGCTCTGGCCATGGCAGGCAGGGTAAGGCAGGAAGAGGTATGAGGGTGAGTGTGGGCCTGTGTGTGGTCCCCCATAACCTCCAGCTGGAGCTAGGATCCTGCTTTATCTGCCTCTCTCAAAGGGAAGAAGCTGATGCTCTAGGCAGGCCACTCCCGTCTTCTCTCTTACTACTACACACAGAAGTGAGTGTCTGAACACGTGTACCTGCAGAACTTCTCCAGGTCCATTACAAATGAAAGTTGATAAATACTCACCAGACACGAAGGCCACTTTTTCCTTTAGGATGGGAAGGACATCAGAAGCTTTCAAACCATCATTCCGAAAAGACCCTGTAGGACGACAAAAACGGGAGAGTAGGGTGAAAGGCCAGCCAGTTGAGCCCCTGGATCCCACCCTCAGCCTCCCATTCCATTATCTGCCAGAAAGCCCTGCAGCCCAGGCCAATGTGGGCAAGGGTCCACAACAGAGAGGACACTTCCCTGTGATGCCAGGTCTCAGGGTAACCAGGGGCGAACCCTCCTGGCCCTTCTCAAGGAGAGGGACAGTCCAAGTCACCTCCCACCCCATTTAAAAAGCCCCATGCCCTGGAGTCAGCCCTGGAAGCCTTGCTGGTGTTGTAAAACTTGAAGATGAAAAAGCATTTTGAGTTGGGTGAGGTAGTGCATGCTTGTCATCCCAGTGACCCTGGAGGCTGAGGCAGGAAGAGCACAAGTTCAAGATCTCCAGCCTCAGCAACTTAGCAAAGGGTCCAAGTAGCTTAGTAAGACCCCTTCTCAAAATAAAATAAAAAAGGCTGGGGGTGTAGAGCACCCATGGTTTCAATCCCCAGCACAGAAAATAAAATAAAAAAAAAAACAACAAAAAAGCTATTTGTATACCTCTAGAGCCTAGCACAGTGCCTGGTTCACAGTAAGTGCTTAGTAAATATCTGCTGGATTAGTTTACTGATATCAAGATAGATTACAATGCCCTGAATAATTACTTATGCTTTTACTCTAAGTGGCACAATGACCATTAGTTTCATTTTACAAATGGGAAAAGTAAATCACAAAAATCTTATAGCTGGAAGCAAAGTTGATGACAATGACCCTTCTGTATCCTTCCTCTTCCACCCCCCTCCCCACCCACAAAAGGTACAGTCCAAAATAGGAGATGATGATACAAAAAGCTCCTGGGAAGGAAATGCCCACCCTTTAGCTCATTCTCTAGGTCACACTTCCTGGTTAGAAAGTCCTTTCTAGGGTCTAGCTAAGCTCCTGTTAGGGGGCTGGATGCAGAGACCTGGGGTTTCAAAAAAATGGAAAATAATGATTTGCTGGAGAAACAGTGGCCTCAGGAGGCAAAGAACAATCTGGCATGGTTGGAATGTGTGGGAAGAAAGGACCCAGCTTCCATACACATACAAAACCTAGGTTGGCCCACTGGACCCCTATGGAACCCAAGTACCCCACAAGATTCTCACAGAGAACGGCGGGAGCTGTGACTGGAATCTATTGTGTATCACCAGTTGGAACACGACACAGGTGGACTCCAGGAGACACGCGGTTAGTTTTATGTCAGCTCTGTGTGATAGACAGAGGCCACAGATCCCCTACTCTAGGACCTCTCTATGCTGGGCATCTCCCTTGGGGTCCAAATCTGACAATCTACAGAGGAGAGTTATAGACCAACCCCTCAGTCTAAGCATTGACTCTTCCAAGAAACCCACCTGAGAATTTTGGCAACAACCCCGGATTAAGTTCCCACTGTCATCCTCATACCTCAGTCCTCATGCCCCATCTCTTCCTTCTCTATCCAGGATCCAGGACCTAAGGGCCACTGTGCAGCTTGTCCATGTGTGGTCACGGGTTCTGTGTAATGTCAGTATTTTTGGTTGAGCTATTCAAACATTCCCAGGACAGAGTCCTCCCCACACAGTTCAGACCAGGCTATCTGCCTGGTTGTGTGCCTACTATAAGAAAACCCAAAGTGTCTAGATTTACAAAATGCATAACTAGGTAACAGTCATTTCCAACAACAAGATTTTTTACATTATGAAAGGATTTTTTCCAAGGTCTCTTTAAATAAAATTTCCCTTAGTGATTTAAATAGTTTTCATTTGCCCAAAATTGAATTACAAATAACTTTTTTCAATAATACATGTATTAGGTAGAGCCAAGTAGAGCTCAACTAATTAGCCCAGCAGCTCAGAAATTGGTGACCTTGCATATAAAACCTATTTGCACTGGCTGAAGATCCTATGTATCAATCCCCCAGGGCCCTTGTGAAACCGGCTGTTAGAATATATAATAAAGGGTAAGTTCATTGAATGCTAACTCAAACAGGACTAGTAAAATAGCAACGTGTTTTTACCATCAGGTACATGTCTCAATAGATTCATAGTAAATGTTCAATAAATATTTAATGGAAGAATAAATGACTGAATGGAAGTTAACCCTTACTCAAGTGACGTACACAAGGTCAGTGGCATCAGCTGTCACACTAAGCACTGGTGATCTGAGTCAATGATCTCCAGGGGTACCACTCAGCCCTAACATGCTAAGACTTTCTAAATCTTTTCTTTATACTTACTGGCCTTTTAGAGCTACAGATTATCAAATTAATCTGCTTTGAAAGAAAATATTGGGATCAAATTCCTTAATGAGACTCAGTGTGCTGTGGGAAGATAAAACAACTGTTCCCTGGCTTTCCAAATCCATTCTTTTCCTGGAATCAGTTTTGAGATTGGGATGCTCAGGAAAGGTCATCCCATTTTTCAGGTAGTACAAGTGGCCAGCGTGGGAGATGAGTGATGGAACACTTGTGAGGCGGCCACTGCAACTGTGATTTCTGAAACGAGGTGTATTTGATAGGACTGTTAAGCCAAAAGCACTAGATCCATGGTACAATAGCTTCCTCCTTTAAAAGAAAAGCCAGTTGAAATAGTAGGCCCCTTGCTACCTCTTGGAGTTGCCATCAGGGAAAACAACACAAACCTGTGGCTATCCTCGTGGACCTGACCCATCATGGGCATTGTGCTTCCTCTTAAGGACAAAGGCATGCTTCACTGGCATTCAGTGCCAATCCCACCCCATTCATGTCCTGCTGCTGTCAGAATTACAAGCCTGCTGTTCTGTTAATTAGCAGAGTTGAAATGCTCTGCATCTATTAGTGAAGTAAAAATTACCACTGCCACCTCCTCAGGATCCTCCAGCATGGGTCTCCTCCAAGACCCATTTCGGCTCTCTTGCCCCAAATGTGTTATACTCAAGTTGCTGCTGCTGCTGCCTATTCTTCCTCACATTTTCCTTGTCACTATTTCCCATGCTAGAAAATGCCAATCATCCTCATTCTGGCTCCCAGCCTCCATGTGTGGTCCCAAGTAGGAATGGCAGAACTGGCCCTTGTGGCAAGGGCCCTGTCTGTGGTTTTGTGGGTCTGGAAAACCCAGTGAATCCCCCAGGGTGGCAGAGTGGCTTGTTCTGCATGCTAGCCTCCCTCAGAGAGCCATCCTAACTTCAACAAGAAAAGAAAAACTACCGAGTGGGGATTTGGAGGTGTAAGCTGCCAGGGTACCATAGGTTGCTCTTCATTTCCTTTCGGTTGTCAGTCACACCCCCTTCATTTGTCATTTAGAAATGACTGTGTAAGTTTTTGAATCTTGTTTCACATGGACCTGAGCTCTGTTTCACCAACAAGATGGCAAATTTCTCAATACTCAAGTTTCTGCCTCTTTTTTTTCCCACTCTATCCCTAGAGCATCCAGCGTGCGAGCCCCCTTGCATTCATTACCACTGCCACCTCCCCAGGATCCTCCAGCATGGGTCTCCTCCAAGGTGACGTTCTACCTCTGATAACCGTTTGTTGTCCTATATGCCTGTCTATCTATCTCTGCTTTGATTTCCCCTGGGAAGAGGATTCCTCTCTTATTTTGTCTTAGTATCACTAAAGCCTAAGATAAGGCCTAGCACATAATTGCTCAAGAAGAATTGATGAGACCCTGAGAACAAAAAGATGTCAAAATTGGACCCAAACAGAGGTTGGCCAAATGAGCTCTTAGAACTCTGCACTGCAGCACAACAGTGAGTCAGTGCCACTTTGAAAGGAAAGGCTTCCTAAAGGCAAGTTCTAAAGGCTTGCTACTCAAAGTAATAAGCACCACCTACACCTAGGACCTTGTTAAAAAATGCAGAATCTCAGGCTCCAACTTAGACCTACTGAGTCAGACCCTGCGTCTTAACAAGGACCCTGGTGAATCAAAGTACACATTACATTTGGGGAAATATTGGAGTACTAAAGTATGCTTTTCTGTTCCAGAGAGTAATCTTAGAAGCAGGGGGTGGGAGGGTAGGGGGGAACCTCCTTCATCCTGGTATAAACAGGGCCTTTAAAATCAGATCTAATGCTGCTCAGAACCCTTCTGCCCTGCTACAGAAGACCCCTCACCACTGTCCAGGGCTATTCCAGAGATTCAGTATTTGCCCTGTAATACATCCTTGACATTCAGCACTGGCATAGAAAGGCTATCTAGGAGATGGATACTTACCTGCTCCAGGACACTGAGAGTAGACCACTCTGGGTTTTTTTGTGAGCCAGAGTGTTCATAAATTGTCTGTCCAAGTTGCTCAGGATCGGGCACCTTAAGCCACTACTTACTTCATCAGCAGATATTTTAATTTCACAACAAATCTTCCTTCATACCCTTCAAGCTCTTCCTTCTCTAACTACTTTCACAGTACTATAAAATCCTCATTGATCATGATTAAGAGAACAAAATGCCATCTCTAGATGGCCCTGGAGGACAGAGAAGCCAGTTTTTGCCTCTTTAGCTCATCTTCTCCTCCATCTACAGGTGCAGACTCTCCAAAGCTGAGCAATACTGGATAAGAACCAGAAAAAGGAGGGGAGCCTCATCCAAAGAGCTCTATATCTAATGAGCACAGAGTGTTCATCTCATGAAATTCACTCCCTCGGAAAAGGGGACCCAATTTCTGCCCTCTAGGAGTTTCCAGTTCCTATTTCCCCCCTGATACCAGGAAGCTACCAGACTCTAAATAAAAGATGAAGTAAGATTCTGAGATTCTGGGGCTGGGAATATGTCTCAAGCTGTAATGTGCTCGCCTGGCATGCGCGGGGTTCGATCCTCAATACCAAATAAAAAATAAAATAAAGATGTTGTGTCCACCGAAAACTGAAAAATAAATATTAAAAAAGTTCTCTCTCTCTCTCTCTCTCTCTCTCTCTCTCAGAAAAAAAAAGATTCTGAGATTCTGATAAAGACCTCACCTTGTCCCCAACCTGGAAATTCTGATTCCACAGTAACTTGATAATTGGTGCTGTTATCCACCAA